CGATACGTCATTAAGTGGGTGGAGATTTCATCAGAAATACATGGACAGGTGCGCAATTTACAATTTAAAATTTTGTCGGACGACTGCACTCGTATTATAGGATACTCATACATGTAGTGATATCTTTGCAATTTGTCTCGAGTACAGAACAGGTAGGTGGCATTCAATTTACCGGAAAACGCCACAGTGCACAATAACACGACGTGTGTTTTAGCATGACAGATTTATTTTTTTTATAGTATTTTAGTACGTTACGATAATATTTACAAATTACAATAGATGAGATACTACCTCCAATACATCGTATCATTTTGTCAACGTTTGCTACTAGTGACGCCATCTAACGTCGTTTTTCGATACTAGCCAACGCTATACCGCGCAACGCCGAGCGATGGCCGGACTATTTTGATTATAGCATTGGCCAACACCGATTTGTTTATGATGTGCGGTTTCGTTATCGTTACCGAAGTTCTGGATGTCGATTGTATAGAAGCCGAACGCCAGAGTTGTTATATTTTAAATTCTGAATTTACTTTTCACCGAATACTGAATTGTTTATCCCGCAGATAAATTGTGGTGCATTCGATTGACCAACGTTTTACCGTTGTCTTACAACACCGGAATAAGATTTCCTTCTGTACATAACTGATTAGGTGAGTACGTTCGAAGTCTTCGTCTTTGACGATACGTTGCGTCGGCGATATGTTTTCTTAAAAAAAAATATTTAGAACACGTCGTTCGATCTTCCTCGTCGAACCTTTTGCCCGTTATTCTAATCTACCCAACGATATTGTCCTAATGAACTCGATGAAATAACGTTGTATCACTTAATTCGAACAGCGATTTTGCACAGAACTTTTTAATAAATCACATGCACACACATTTATTAGTATTTTGTTGTGTTTCAAATTTTACAGTTCAAAGAAAATCTATCAAATATCAAGATATTTCTTGATTCATAGTGCTCAATATTTATTGTAACATTTTAAATACTATTAAGATTACAAATCATGCATAGAATCTTATTCATTTGACATTATTCTGTAATTTAGAGATTATTTAAATTAAAATTTTTTTTTTTTTAATGTATCAGCATCTTATTTTATGATATTTTTGTATTAATTGATACTATTATTTTCAGTCTATAAAAATTGTGGAAAATGTTGGACACACGTCCAAATCATACCATTTATATAAACAACTTAAACGAAAAAATAAAAAAAGATGGTAAGTTTTTTTTGAGCCAATTTACTAAGATTAATCATATTATTTAAAACATAATATATATTATTTTAAAATGTGTAATAATTATTTACATTAATTTTTATATTTTTATTTTTAAAGACTTAAAGAAATCTTTGTATGCAATATTTTCACAATTTGGACAAATACTCGATATTGTTGCAATGAAAGGTATTAAAATGAACGGACAAGCTTTTGTTATATTTAAAGATATAACTAGTTCTACAAATGCTTTACGTGCAATGCAAGGATTTCCATTTTATGATAAACCTATGGTAAGAATATGTTTCTAAACCTTATATATGATCAGTCTTTAGAAAGAATAAATTTGTAATCATCACTCATTTATATCAAACGAAGTTCAAATTTTTGGAACCCCAATAAAAATCCATGTTAAAAACCTATTTTTAACATTATTATCATGTAGTTTTACTAAAATTGCATCTATAAACATGGTGATATTAAATAAATTTATACTATTTTATAAAATAGAATATTTAAAATCTTTTTTAAATGTTACGTTTATACACTTTCAAAAATCCATGGTGTATGTGGTTTAAATGTTACATTGTCCTAATTCGTTAGTTGTTTTGTTTGGATACAGAGTGGTAATTTTATTTCCCTATTTAGCTAAAAATGAACAAGATGGTGCCTGTCTAAAATAAATTTCACACATTTTTAGCCTCTATTATAATATTTATCATTTATAATATAACTACTCAGTCATTAACAAAAATAATTAACACACTAACTTCTTTCATCACTACAATGCCAATTATCTCTTTTATTCTTACATTCCTCGTATCTTTTCATGTATCAATTTCTTTGTTCACTCTTTCTATCACATCTTTTTCCATTAATTATCCTAAAAGTATAGCCATAGGCAATCCAACTTTTTATGAAGACTGGGCCGTATAAATTTTAACAATGATGCATTAACTTAAATGGCTCGAGTTAAACATTTTATTACTCATATTGATAATATTTATGTGTGCCCAACATCTACGCTATCGCTATTAGACTTAATAAATAAAGTTGACACTTTCATATACTATTAAATTAATTTGAAGTTTATTTAATTTTTAATATTTTGTAATTTTATCATCTTGAAATATATTTATTTTTTCATAATATTATATACAATTAATGGTTTTGAAATTGAACTGAAAGTGGCATTAACATTTACTACGAGTAAAATACCTCTAGCCAATACTATAGTTCTTTAAATAATCTCATTATAATACATTTAAAACAAAAGTAACTGTCAATTTTCGAATTTTTAGTTCACATCTTGTGAATATTAATTCAGTTTTCTTAAATTATTTAACTGTATTTCCGTATAATATAACAATATCTATATTGACAACTATTACCTTGTTTTTCTATCAGCTTTTTGACTAGTATTCTTGAAAAGTTCTGTTGTGTAAATACATAATAATAATAATACAAAATTTATTTATAAATAAATAACAACTTAAAAAAAATTATTCTATTATATTTCTTAATTAATATATTGAAAATTTATTAAAATTTTTTATACAGTGGCCAAATTCAGTTTTCTAGTGAACTTTCCTAGCACTGTAAATTATAAATACTTTAAGTATTTTACTGGAGTTATCAGTCATTTTGGCTTACACCCTAGTTTATGTAATCTTTTTCTAGATTAAAATTATGTGTTTAATTTTAATACATTTTATAAATGACAATTTTAATTTATAATTATTATTCTAATATTTTAATCTAGTAAAACAATCTAGTTTTTATTTCAAACGATTAGATTAATTCATTTTTTTGCACATATTTATGTGTTTAGATTTTTTTCCCTGTGTATCATAATTTTATTATTCATCTAAATTGGATAAAATTCATGTATTTTAATAGTTTTTTTAATATTTTGTTTTAAATTAATTTAATATACCAAAAATTGGTATGTTTAGTCGTCTTCAAGATTAATAAAATAATTAATGTGTAATACAGGGTGGGGCGTGGTTACTTCCTTATTTTAAAAAATCATAACACAAAAAGTATTGGCAATATTGATTTAATTATTTTTTCTGTGTATAGAAGTACATTTAAAGTTTTATTTTATTTGGTTTTAAAAACGACATCTCGAAGGTGGCCACCGTTCTCATCAATGCACTGAGATAGTCGGAATTTGAAATTGTTGTCCACTTTTTCCAGCATATCTGTGCTTATGTCGGCGTCGGCGATAGCAGCACAAATATTGTTTTTGAGATGACAAAGGGTCTTTGGACAATCAGTGTTTACCAACGATTTAAGGTAGCCCCACAGGAAAAAATCACATGGGGCTAAATCTGGCGATCGTGCTGGCCACTGAAGATCGCCTCTAAAAGAGATGAGGCCTCCACGGCGAACGCACACTCTTGCTTTGTCCACTGCATTGTTGACACTGAATTAGTCATAATAAAAACCTTAGATAACGTGCTTTCGAACAAGCCATAAACCAAAGTTCTACTATTAATAGCCGCTCAGTTGCGAGAGTTTCAAATAAGGAAGTAATCACGCCCCACCCTGTATTATACCAATAATCAATAAACTTTATCATAAATTGAATGTTTATGCTACATGTGATTGGATAATATAATGTTGTAGTTATATTTATTTTCATTTTTTTAGCGTATACAATTTGCTAAAACAGAATCAGACATAATTGCTAAAATGAAAGGTACTTTTGTTGAGCGCCAGAAAAAACCTAAGAAGCCAAAGGATGATGAAGAAGCCAAAAAGAGACGTAAAGCTGCTAAAGAACAGGCTCGTGCTTTGGCACAGCAAAATAACCCAGGAGGTGTATCTGGTGGTAGTGAGTGTTGTTTTTAGTTCTACTCTTTTTACATTAAGAGGATAGCATATCCACATGCACTGTCCCTGTCTTACTAATACATAACTTATAAAAATATAATGTTAATTTGAGTTGACGTATTATCACAGATTAAATAAATAAATAATAAATTAAATTATTTAATCTGTGGTATTATCAAACTAAAAGTTAAGAATATTATTTGTGTTCTCTTGTTAGTTTTTATGATATTATAACTTTTAAGTGAATTTTGAGCATTTTTTAATATTAATATTAATATTTTACTTACTCATAATTCACTTATAAATTATAATACCATAAAAAACTCAATGAGACAACTCAAATTATGTTTTTATCTTTGAGTTAGATTATAGGTCATTTATAATCAATGTTTAAAATAAACACAAAATTAGAATTGCTGAGTGTATATTTTGCCATTTTGGTATGATATAAATTAGTAAGATAGAGACAACACGTACAGATTTGACTTACTCTTAATAGTCTTATTATTGTATCAATATTAATTCTTGTTCTTCAACAGATGTACCCGAACAGCCACCTAACCAGATTCTTTTCTTGACCAACCTTCCTGATGAAACGACTGAGATGATGTTATCCATGCTGTTCAACCAGTATGTTTTATTTTATTGTTTTATATTCAATTTAACTTAATGTAAAATATTTTAATTTCTGTAGGTTCCCTGGATTCAAAGAAGTACGACTTGTACCAAACAGACACGACATTGCTTTTGTTGAATTTGAAAATGAACACCAATCAAACACTGCCAAACTATCATTAAATGGTTTCAAGATTACACCTACTCATGCAATGAAAATAACATTTGCTAAAAAGTAAAATTGTTCATAATGATTAATGCATTGATCATTTATGAAGTAACATAACACATATATTATTATATTTGTTTAAGTATTCAAGATTACAATAAAAAAAAAAATTAAATATTTCATATTATACTAATAGGTGATTTATGTTTTTTTATAAGAATTTAAATTTGGTGGCATTGTTGAGTGTGGTGTAGGTTTATATATAGTACTCCAAAATACTATTGTATCACTTTCTACATGATGAATAAAAAATATAAATGGCTTGTTTGCATTAAAAATAGCCTGGCCTCCTCTTGTTATAGTTACTACAGTAGCTGCCGATGCCACTGTGCCGATTTCATTGACATCAATTTCAACTTTGTGTAAAATATCACTAATGAAAGAGTCTGGGTCTATAACCATATTTGATAAATCCGCCTTTAAAGGGTCAAACATTTTGTTAATTCCTATATTCTAAAAACAAAAACAACAGATAAATTAGAATGAAATCATATGAAAACAAAATTATATATTGTGTACCTGTAAAACTGGTCGTAGATTAACCAAAGACTTAAGAGTCATTTTAGGCACAAAATATGTAAATTCTGCAAACTTAGAGTTTTTGGTTATGTTTTTTAATACATTTCCATTCATTTTTGAAATTAAACCTCTTAAACTAACATTTGTGTCAGGAAGCACAAAGTATGTTATAAATTGATTGCCTTTGTATGGTAGCCCAATGGCTTTAAACTCTAATTCTTCATTTTTATGGAACAATACATCACTGCTGCCTACCATCATTGGGACGAATACGCACTCTCTGTTTTGTCTGGATGATTTTTTATCACTAATGCTTGATCCATAACAAAATGGTTTTCTAAAATAAAACAATGTTCATATGTATAATAGTTAATATTTTAAAATAAGTTTTAATAGTTAAACTTACATTCTGGTGTAATTGACAAAAAATGGGTTTTCCCATTCACCTGTGAAGTATAATGCACTTGCAATTATAGTCTTGGTATCAGCAGGAGGAATATCAGGCATAATATCATTGATTTTTCCACATGTTTGATTAGACACCCATCTATTTAAAAAAAAAAAAAAAAATTACTAATCAAAATTAAAGGTAAATTTTATTTAAAAACAACTTAACTACCATTCTAATTTTAATTTGTTTTAAACAACTATTATGCTAAAATTTAACCATACCCAAATACATGATTTTAATACACATCATTAAAAACAAATATATTGTATTAAATCTAATGTATTATTGTATTATTTTTTTGGTAATTCGTCATCACTTACTAAATGTTTTCAAAGAATAAACGAGTGATTAATGAATCATTTTATTACTGTAATTAAATAATAATAATTATGATGAAATAATTAGTCTTCCATATTATGAAACATAACAATAGTAATTTATAAATTATAGTATTGAGAAAACAAAACATGATTAATAGATGATTAAAGTTTATAAAAACAACATTTATAATTTAAAATTGATAAATATCAATAAATAAAAATGGACTTAATTTATCAATATTATAGAATTAAGATGATGTTATAACAATGTCGAATAAATAAAATTTTTGATTATAAAAACTAGTTTGTTTTTTGACTAGTTATTTAAATTAATTATAGTCTATGATTAATCTTGTTTAACTATATTTGTATTAATTAGAAAATATATTTCTGATTATTTATATTCAATTGATCCATATGGGTAATAAAATATTTAATAAATGTATATTAAATTAAATACATGCATTTTTAGGTGTAGATAAAATCCTTATAAACTTAAATCGTCAGTTATTCATATAGTTATTTTTACCACTGTAGAAATTATTATACTTATGAATTATTTGATATAGTTGATTTTTTAACAATAAAAAATAATCATTTAATTAATTAAAAGCTCCATAATTTTTAATTATATAGTAAAAATCCAAATTAAATGTATATATTTATAATAATGATCTTTGAAAATGTATTGCATAGAAAGAGAAAAAATAGTTGAGCATAGATTTGACATACATTATCAGATTATATAAAATTGAAATGTATAAATAAAAATAAACTAACTAAAACTTCATGATCTACTGTATTTCATATTACATGATTTTTAATTAATACGCACTGATTGATAATATGTTTTGTTTGTTCTCCATCTGATTTGAAATTAACTGTAATCATTTTACTATTTAAATAATCTTCAGCTGCTTTTATATAACTTTTTGTAATATTATATCCATTTTGTACAAAAACTGCTTTTGCTAGATTAACTTCAGTGCCCAATTTTTCACCAGAGTTGGCTTGAAAATAATTTAATAGCATTCCCAAATTCTTGAAATTTTGACCATTGCTAAGAACATAATAAAAAAAATAATATTTTTAGAATATATTTACGAAATAAAATGTACTAATACTCACTTATCAGCTAAATGGGTTGTTGTGTTCTCGTCGTAACCAAATAATTTACCAATTTCAGTTTTAGTTTCACCATTAGCTCCCAAAAGTATAAGTGACAAAGCAGCAGCCATACAAATCGGTGATAAAATTATATTGTCATGATTGGAGTTGTGTGATTCCAAATTATCAATTGATCTGTCAATATTCAATGTTGCATCTAATAAACCTAGTGACAATATCTGAAAATTTAGAAATAAAATTTACCAACAAATACAATATAAAATTAGAGATAAAATAATTTACTTCTATATTATTTGAAGTTGAGTTGTTCTGTACATGAGAATGAACTGTTTCATTCATAGTTTTAGTTTCATTCATATTTATATTTAGTGATTCATTCATAACTGTATTAATCTTCATAGGTTTAGTTTCATTAATAATTTTATCTAGGAACATGGAATTCATAGGTCTAGTTTCATTAGTAATTCTGTTTGAAGACATAAAACTCATAGTATTAATATCATTTTTAGTTCCATTTTCAATTGAAGCTATGGTCATATTTGTCTTCACAAAAGGATCCAAAAATACAATTTTATTACCATCCACTATTGACAGCAGAATGTAAATACTTAAACTCAACAACATTTTTGACCACATCTAAATAAATAAAAATACATGTTATGTTTATGGATTAATTGAACATACAATAAAAAAAAAGTAGTATATTGAGTCAAAACTAAACAACCAATTTTTAGTAAGACTATTTGATTTTTCAATTACATAATATAATATAACAGTAAACATTAGTGTTTGTGAGTTACAGCCCCATTTTTTCTACATTTTACAATTAAATTTTAACAGGAGTTGATGATTTAGATAATCACAAATTTAACTGTGTTATTGGTTTCATTACATTTTATTAGGAAATTATTTTACTGTACAATAATATTATTATATTTACATTTATGTACAATAAATACTTTGCGGTGGTAGTGTCATATAATTAAGTTTGTTTTATAAATAAACAATCATTATAACATGTGTAACCTATTGTGTAAGTATAAATTATAAAAAAAAAAAAAAATCTATTTTATGCACACAGGTACCCCAGAGGTAGGTACACCAATAATCAGAATACTATAAATACCTATTGATTATTATTATTATTATTCTACTATGACATTAAAAATTTAAACAATACCTCTGTAATATGTCCGACGGGGTAGTCTGTGTAGAGAACGTGGAATTCACGTACTTCCACGCGAATTCATTAAATATAACTGATGATCGATTCTCGATCCAGTGTTTAATAATATTAATAATAATAATAATAACACTCGTACGTTAAAGTAGTAGAAATGATAATAATGGTCAAGGTCTGACTTGTGTGAGTGTACATGTATGTACGGAGTGGTGGGGCCGTGGTGTGCAGGAGTGTGAGTGTGTATACATTATATATAATATATAACATGTACGTTGGTACAGGAATGATTTGTTTTGTTTTTGTCTTCCTGTAATTATACACATCATAATATTAAATAAATATATGTAGGTGTACACGTTTATCATATTATAAATTTATGATTTGTAAAAACATATCGGGTGATGTCGGGGCGCTCGTAACAAAAAAACTCGTTTTTGCACGTTGTAAATCGTACCTACTTCGTTTTACTGTTCCATTTCGTGTGTATCCGACGCGTAGTAACGTTATTCACAAACACATTTATAATAACACGATATACCTATACCAGCTATAAAAATTAAACACGTTACTTGCGCCGGCGAGCAGTTCACACTGTTCACAGTATTTCTTAATTTTCCTTTCTGAACTTCGTGTGATGGACGATCACTAAACGTCGCGAATTCCGACGTAGGTACCTACAGAAATGCCGCCGCGCGCGAAGGGGAACTCTGGAAAACAAGAAGAAAAAAAAAGGAAATCTTTAATTTATGATATTATATAGGTACACTATATTAACGTTTACGAACAGTGTACCGGCGTCCGTCTGCAGTAGGTATAATATAATGCGACATGAAATAAAATTTACGCAACGTGTGTGTTAAAAATACGTCGTAGATTTTTTAACGTGATGAATATTAATAAAAAAAAAAACATAAACCCATTTCTACATATTTCGAAGTAGGTACTAGAGCGAATGACGAACAATACTCATCTCATGTATATATACTGTGCGTCTGTGCTGTTGCGCTGGACATTTTAATCGCCATATCGTTGTTGTTGGCTCGTCGTTTCCTAAATCTTTTACGTCGACGTCCCGATATTTTATACGAAATCTCATCAAATCTTAAACGTTTAGACTTAGAACACGAGAACATTACGAGTGTTAAGAATACCGATTATCGATTATCGGCATTTTGCCGACCACTTGCCAAACTGCACTGATCGTTTTTGACTTTTGTTTCGTTATGGTACGACCTCCTACGCGTTATTGTGAGATGATTGAAGTATTGCAAACAATCGCGAAGAACTCATAAGAATGAAAAAAACAAGATTTGTTTTGCATACGAGTATACGTCTATAATCTTTATTAAGAGTGATGGGAACAAAAATCGTAGTCACAGTTAGTAAATTGAAAACTTAATTGCCAGTTTATTTTCAACGTTCCCTCCGTTCTAGAAAATTTACCAAAAACTAAAATATATAGTTTGCCTAATCAAAATACCAATTGATCGTCAAAAGGCGTAAGTTTAATGAATTGTGGCATCGTACACAAAAACGTTGATGTAGAGTATAAAATAAGAATATATTGTACAAATTACATTTGAGTACTTGAGTAGGTGTAATGAGTAGTATTATTATTTATTATTATTTATTGTTTTTAAAGATATTAGTTACGTAAGTATACACACAAGTTGACGACCTATCAATATTAATTTATAATTTATAAACATATCTACGCATACTATATTATTATAATCGTAATACCTACAGGTAATATTATATTATATTAGCCTTTCGTGCACGTCATATTACATGAAATATTCTTAAAGTAAAACAATACGTCATGTTATACACAGCAGCAGCGTGAACATTCTGTAAGAGAAACAAAAAAAATTTCAGTTGCACCATCCACATTTTTTATTCAATCAGTAATAGAGTGAAAAGAGGATAGTGGTTGTCTATCACACAACCTAACACGATTTATGGAAAAATTTTTCACTAGCTGAAATTTCTTATTACTCTTTAGTCTTTGATAAAAATAATTTTTCATTTTAATACTAATGAACAAATACATTAAAATAATAATGGACTTTTGAATACCAGCTAGCTCATAACTATTAACATTCATAGTATAAATGTATATATTTTTAAAATTTGAGTGGAGAAAATAGCAATATTTTAGAGTAATATTATTATATTGATTTTACAGTAATGTGTGTATGTGTTATGTGTACACGTTTTAAAATAGAAAAAATGCTTTGGTTTTTAACTTTTGCGTTATTTTTTTATAGTGAAAAGTCAAGTGTGAAAGTGTTATTATTTATTAATCTCCCTCCCCCGCTCACACACATACATAAGTTTGTAAACTCAAGTGTTTTGAACATTTACGGGACGAATTGTTTTTAATATTTTAACGAACAATAATTACGGTTAAGTACATTAATTTTTAAAAGTTTAGTCATGGGGAGCATTTAATATATTATATTCATACGGTTTTACTACCAATGTTTTTTCTTTATTTTACAGCGTTTATCTTCAAAATTGGCGTGTATTATATCATATACCTATACTTAGGATGTATACGTATTTATGTCACCGTTTAAAATATGGTAATAAAAATGATACGTATATACGTCATTGCTTCAAAATTTATAATTTTTTTTTCGATTTTACATTCCTAATCCGGCTTTATGAGCAGCATCTGCAGTGTATCATATATTATATACTATAATGTATTGTTTGTTTAAAAAAAGTATTACTGTGTATATATATAGCAGAAGTGTTATCACTTATCATTACCTATGTATAATTACCCACGTTTCCATAATTATAACTTTGGAGGGCTACAATAAGTTTTACTTCGTGCAATGTTTTCAATTTTTAAAACTATTTTTAGTGCTAATATTACATGTGTGTCCATTCATCACTTATTCCAATTTCTAAGTAACGATTTTCCAACTGACGTCAATACGTCAACTCAAACTGTTTAAATTATTCTACAGCGTAGGTATGTAAGTATGTTGATATATAAATATTATCTATACATCTACCTAAATACATATAATTATCAGAACTGTATCACTTTACTATTATTATAGTCAACAGGTGTTGTATACGTTATTTATTTAGTTATTTATTAGAATCCCTCTAAATATTATTATTAAGTATTCTGAACAATTATAAATATCGTATTATTATACATCTACACGACTACACACTCTATTGTAAAAACTAATATATACTTGTACTATAAACATGCGTTTATGTACACTCAATTATTTACGAACTAGGTACTTGTTATTTGATAAAAATCAAGGTCAAATCTTAGTCCAGGCCTGAGGGGTCTCCGCCTCCTATGTTTTAAAACATATACATTTATTGTATTCTCTAAGAGACACATTTTATGAGGGTGCTAATATAACGGTTTATAAAGCGTTATAGGCAATTTCGACTGTAAAATTATTAAAAAAAAACAAACGAAATTTTAATAATTTTAAAACGTTTTGTATAGTTATACGGTGCGTATTGTGTATATTTCTTCTCATTTTTCTAAAATTAGCCAGGAGTTCTATATAAATTATTTTTATTCGATTCGCAGTCCTTCCCAAGACAAGTAAATATGGAATGTATTGAAAAAAAAAAAACACGTTTTGGTGCTTAAAATATTTAAATAGCTATAGCAATACCTATGTTAATTATAAGTATGGAATTTGTTTTTAACTCTTTAATCTGTTGTGTAGTATGATATACATTTAAAAATACAAATTATGATTTAATGTTTAAACATGTATAAATATAATAATGGTACATAATATAATTTATTAATATATTATATTATAATAGATATAGGCCTACTCATATATTCATCAAAAGTCCATGCTTACTTTAAATTCGAGCTTTTCAATTTACTTTACTGAATAATATAAGTTTCTACGATGTGAATATGCTAAATATACTAGTAATAGAGAATATGAATAATTAAATATATATTATTAATTGGTAAAAAATATCACTTTCTCGAAATTTTAATCAACTAATATTATTATTGAAATCAAAATTAAATGTCATTACATATTTGCGCTGATAGTTAATATATTTTATATATATATACCGTCATACCGATATTCATATCCGAATAGTATAATATCTATAAATAATGTCATTCCTTATATGTAAATTGTGTAATAAAATACAGATAACTCATGATTTTAGTTTTTAAAAGTGTTATAATAATGGTTCGATTATATTATATTATAAATGTATAATATTAATCTATCTTTGTATAGACTGTAAATGTAGATTCTAGGTATAGGTTTTAGTTTTAAAAACGATTTTCTAAACGTAGAGAAGGTAAAATATTTTACTTTATAGAAGCAAAACAAATTAAAATCCTCAATGGGTTTCCAAACTATTTAATTTACCGTAGGTACCTATAATATATGTATTATTTTTTGCATGAATATATTTATAAACTGTACGTTTAATATGCATAGTGTTTAATAATTTTGTTTTCGATTTTTACAAACATATGCTTGACATTATTTTCTCTTATTAACATAACTCAAATCTACGTTATATCTAACGTGGATTAAACATTTTTAATGCAATATATTATAATGATTGTTATGTATTTGTAATCAGATTTCGTGCGTTTAAGCAATAACTAAATATAAAATTATTTCTGTGACTCTATAAACAACTACTGATTCCATTAACGAGATCTTAGATATAATAAGTGATTTTAATGATTACTGATTGATGATTATATACTTGTATAGTTGCATTTGGTATTGGAAAAGACTTTTACTTATTCACTACCATTTAAGTATAGTGGAAAGTATCGATAGTTAAAACTACCATTTACTGTTAACCAAACAACATTATAAATAATATGTTATATTAAAAAAAATAATATTAAGTATATTGTCTTATATAAATTAATAAGTAATAATTGCAAATAATATTATTGAAAATCGCTGGTAAACACCTATACTTAACTTATATAAGATAATTGATAACTTTGACTTATTTTATATTCATCTACTTTATCAAGGTTCATATGTTGTAAGGTTGAAACATTTTTAATTCATTATCATATACAATGTACAGTTGTTATTTTCGTAGGTTTTTATTTTAAAATTCAATTTAAACAATTACTGTA